ATTTTTGAAAATCTTACTATGTTAAGTATGCAATAAATGATTTTATTTATGATAAATGAATTTACTTAATTTAAAAGCTTCATTAATTATTTTTATGATTTTTACCAACCTTCATTTCTATATCGGTGAGTAGTGTAATATTCTTACTGAGTTAGTGTAGCTCACTCTTTTATTAATCATTTCAGATCAAGCAGACCAAGATCTAGATCTCGATCCACAAGGGGGTTGTGAATAGGATGCCCAGTTGTTTACTTTCTATTTATTTCTTTGATTTTTTGTTTGTTCTTTTAGAAAGGTTATTCCCGTAGCCCTATTGGGTATTCTAAATTATTATATAAAGAAAGTAAACCCTAAGTTTATTATTTCGCTTTCGCATTCAATTTATGATTCTATTTTCTTTTAAGTCGCTGGTCATTACATAAACTACATTAAAGAATTAAAGGAGACTTATAAAGGAATAATATATATATATATATATTTATAATTATAAGATTGAGCCTAACCCAAAGTAGGGTTACCTTCTATTAATTATGAACTGATAGCTTATTTTGTATTATTTAGATGGATACCCAAAGGTAACATATAAATGACGCAAAATATTAACTATTTTTAAGTCCCTTTAAGTAAACACTAGATATGCTAACGTCTTGCCTAAAAGAAAAACTATAGCGATATCAATAGTTCATCGCTTATAAATTAATATTATAAATATACTTGAGACCTTACTGTGAATATTGTTCTATTTTACAGTTCCCATTTCACTATATCTCTGCATCTGGAATAACAGCTTTTGATAGGTAAATTTGCAGAGTGGTATGAAATGGTCCAATTCTCACTAGGTTTATTGGATCTTGATCTGGCTTGATAATTGAAAATTTTCCTGAAGCTACCAATGATAGTACTCTAGAGCATAAGGAACAATTCAAAGTCTGGACAATGTCAAACAAACTCAGTCTTATGTTTATGAAAATGATCATTGCCACGAACATCAAAACTTCCCTCCCTCAAACTGAGATAGCCTCAAAATTTCTAAAATATGTGGAGGAGCATTTCAAATGTGTTAATAAGTCTCTTGCAGGCATATTGATGGCTGAATTGACCACCATGAAATATGATGGTCAGAAAAGAACTCAGTAACACATTTTAAACATGGCTGAAAAGTTGTAAAAAGGCATTGGACATGAACATGGGTGAGTCATTCTTAGTTCAATTTGTCCTTAACTCACTTCCTTCGTAGTTCATGCCATTCAAAATTCACTATAACACTAATAATGAACAGTAGAATATGAATGAGCTTACTAGTAAGTGCATTCAAGAGGAAATAAGATTAAAGCAAGATGAACATAACTTTACCGTTGCAGTTACTCATGGAGCTATGAAGAATAAAGGCAAATTAAAAAAAGTAAAGAACACTCCAACAAAGAAATAAAGTAAACTTGGGAGAATAACCAGAGTCATGAAGAAAAATTTACTTTGAGTTGCTACTTTTGTGGTAAGAAAGGTCATGTCAAAAATGAATGTAATAAACATAAGGTTTTGTTTAAAAAGAGATGTATGAATCTTTCTTTTATATGTTATGAATTAAATCTTGTTGAAGTTCCTTCTAATACTTGGTGGATTGATTCTGAAACCACAACTAGTGTTACTAATTTAATACAGGGATTTTTTACAACCCATAAACCAAAAAAAAGTGAAAAGTTCCTCGATATGGGAAACTGTCTCAATATAGAAGTCGTAGCTGTAGGTACCTATCGCTTGCTATTAGAGACTAGTCATCAGATGAATTTTTTAAACACTTTATGTTCCTTCGATTTCTAGGAATTTAATTTTATTATCCAAATTAGATGTTGTTTAATATTCAATTTATTTTAGTTATGGAAAAGTAAGTTTAGTGTTTAACTCAATTACAGTTGGTTCTAGTATTTTATATGATAGTTTATATAAAATTTATCTGAATCATGAATTTGCACAAGCTTTAGTTATCTTGCATTCAAATATTGGATCAAAACATGGCTTAATTAATAAAAATTTGTCATTCTTGTGGCATATAAGGCTAGGGCATATCTCTAAGAAAAGAATTGAGAGATTAGTAAATGATGAAATTTTACAAAATCTTGACATCACTGACTTTCAAGTATGTATAGACTGCATAAAAGGAAAGAAAACTGAACATACAAAGAAAGGTGCCACAAAAAGCAATGAACTTCTTGAGATAATTCATATGAAAATTTGCGGACCACTCTCCATTCCTTGGTTCACTAGAGAGAGATATTTTATCACCTTACAAATGATCTATCTCGGTATGGTTATGTATATCTAATGCATGATAAGCCTCAAGTCATTGACATCTTTAAAGTGTACATTACAGAGGTTGAAAAGCAATTAGATAAAAAGGTTAAAGTTGTGAGATCTAATCGAGGTGGTGAATTTTATGGTAGATATGATAGGTTAGGACAAAATCTTAGTCCATTTGCCAAATTCCTAGAAAAACATGGCATTCGTGCTCAATACACAATGCCAGGTACGCCACGTCAGAATGGTGTTGCTGAAAGGCATAGTTATACTTTAATAGAAATTGTTAGAAGCATGATGAATTACTCTTCTGTACTTATTTCTTTATGGGGTGAAGCCTTAAAGACTGCAATGTATATCTTGAATAGAGTTCCTAGTAAGGCACTATCTACACCTCCTTTCGAGTTGTGGATTGTTAAGAAACCAAGTTTAAAACATTTACATATATGCGGTTGTCCAGCGGAAGCAAGAATCATCAATCTTCATGAGAAAAAGTTAAATTTAAGGACAATATTTGGATATTTTATTGGTTATCTAGATAAGTCCAAAGAATATAGATTTTTGTTGTGCTAACCATAGTATGAGAATAATTGAAACCAATAATACCATATTCTTAGAAAATAGAAAAATTAGCGAGAGTGAAGAACCAAGAAAATTATATCTTGAGGAAATAAGAATGGATATCCCACCACTATTTTTGCCTCAAAAAATAACTCTTGCTCATCATTTTCAACAAGTTACAGAAAATGAGGTACATAATAGAAATGGTTTATTACCACAAGAAGATGTCGTCATTAAAAATGTAATAGAACAACCTCAATCAATACCTTTGAGAAGATCTCAAAAGGAAAGGAAATCTGTTATATCAAATGATTATATGATATGTCTATAAGAATCTGATTTTGATATTAGGATAAGAACAGATCCAGTTACGTTTTCGCAAGCCATGAAAAGTGATGATTCTAATAAATTGATATAAGTTTATGAAAGAAGATTTGAAGTCTATAGACCACAATTATGTATGAGATCTTGTTGAATTGTCTGATAATTATAAAAGCGTCGGTTGTAAATGGGTCTTCAAGACCAAATGCGATGCTAAAGGCAATATCCAACGATTTAAAGTCATACTAGTGGCCAAAGATTTTACTCAAAAGGAATATATAGATTATAGAGATACCTTCTCTCCAGTTTCTGAAAAGGATTCCCTTATAATCATTATGGCACTTATAACACATTTTAATTTAGAGTTACATCAAATGGATGTGAAAACTATTTTCTTGAATGAGAATTTGGATGAAGATATCTATATGGATCAATCTGAAGGGTTCGCAACAAAAGAAAAAAAAAACATTTAGTTTACAAATTAAAGAAATCCATTTATGGTCTTAAACAAGCTTCCACACAATGGTATATAAAGTTTAATGATACCATTATATCTTTCAGATTTAAGAAAAATACTATTGATCAGTGTATATATATGAAAATTAGTGGGAGTAAATTTATATTTCTAATACCATAGGTGGATGATATTTTGCTAGCTAGTAGTGATCTTGGTTTGTTATACAAAATCAAGAAATATCTTTCTACAAACTTTCAAATGGTTGATATGGGTGAGGTAACTTATGTTATTGGAATAGAAATCTTCAGAGATCGTTCTCAATGATTGTTAGGTTTGTCTCAGAAATGATATATTAATTGAGTTTTGGAGAGATTCAATATGCAGTTATGTTCAGCAAGTGTTACACCCATTTTTAAGGGTGACAAATTAAGTAAAAGTCAATGCCCAAGAAATGACTTAGAAAGGGAACAGATGAAGTTTGATATATGCTTAAACTTGTATTAGACCAGATATCAGCTATGTTGTTGGTATATTAAGAAGATATCAAAGTGATCTAGGAATTGAACACTAAAAAGCTGCAAAGAAAGTTATGAGGTATCTTTAAGGGACAAAAGATTATATGCTCACATATAAAAATTAGAACAATTAAAGGTGATTGGATACTCGAATTCAAATTATGATGGTTGCCGTGATAACTT